TACAGGATTTGAACCATGTTCGTCACTGTGGGAGTGTCCAGCGCCTTAACCACCATGCCACCTGCTGGTCCCCACACCTTGCTTTCTTACACGTGCCCCTCAGCTTGCTTTCTCACTCGCCCTCTCCTCCCCAGTGTACATGCCCTATAGCAAATTTTAAAATAATATATTTTTTAAATTAAATAAAATCTTTAAAAAAAAGGTCAATATTGCAAACTTGAAAACTACCACTCTAAGGACAGACTCTTTAAAAGAGGTCCAGGGACCAGCAGATTTTGTAATGGTTACACTGCTGGACTCCCACATAGTCGACTCACTGCTGTTTTGAGTCCCAGACTCAGCGGCTTAAAATTCACACCGGGTACATGTGCGTGCATGCTCACGATCCCAAGAGGAGAATGAAGAAGGGACTGAGGCATAACCATCCCCCCACCCTGGGGGTGGGGGGTTCTGCCTTTCTGTTGTCCTGTCTCCCCTGCAAGAGCACACATCGTAAAGAGAAAAAAAAAAAAAAAAAAACTTTCCAAAAAATGAATACATAAATAAAAGAGATCTTCCCTCCAAAACAAAGAGGTTAATTTGAGGTTAAACAGAATTTAAGGCTGTGGCTGCCTTAACTTTCTAAAGGAAACATTAATCACAGCTGGGGGGGGGGGGGGAGAATTGGTGTAGGGCAATTCTGAGAAGTTCCTAATATTTTAGTATTTTCCCTTCACCCTTTTCAAAAACTGCCCAAGGAACTGGTCTTAGCAAGGTCCAAACTCATTAAAGATTCAAAACATGGTCCTGACGAACAGCAATGAAATAACTAAAGCCTAGTTATTCTCACAAGCGTAATCTCAGGCAAAGAGCAACAAGCCACCAGCCTCCTCCAGTTTCAGCCTCTGCTTTCCAAAAGGACCCTAACCAAAAAAGCTGGTTTCTAAATTAAACATCTACAGGTGACAAGCCCCTAACATGAGTGTACGAAGCGTGATGCCTGACTTCCTAGTCACCTCCTGCAGGCTTGTTGTGGGACCACATACAAGCCTGTGAAGAAAAACCAAGGGACCACAGGTAGAGAATTTTGTTTTGAAGGGGCCAGAACCCATCCTAGACCTACACCCTCTTGCAGACGATCTCCAAAGCTCCCACCCCAGCAGGCAAGGGGCCTGACCGTCTGTTTTCATTGAGCAAGACAGGTGGGGACTTCATGAAAGTTTGTGGAAGATGTAATTCAAGGAAGTTTATTTTGGAGCAAAGAAAGTTTGAAATCCATGCATAGCTTTTTCACAACACTCATTCTCCATTAACTTTTTAAAGACCTTCGCCTTGTACATTTAGCACTATTAAAAGTTCATCTGGCGGTCCAATCTCATCCACAACATCAAAAACAAGTTTCGTTTCTTTTTCTGACTCTAACGAACTCATACATTGCCCGCCTCCGGATCAAACTGGTGGAATCTCTCTTTAGGAGATAAAATTAATCGAGTCATCACAATATTCACTTTCTCCTAAAAAAAAAAAAAAAAAAAAGAAAACCATCCCACCACCCAAAAAAAGAAAACAAATTCGTTTCTTTTTCTGACTCTAACGAACTCATACATTGCCCGCCTCCGGATCAAACTGGTGGAATCTCTCTTTAGGAGATAAAATTAATCGAGTCATCACAATATTCACTTTCTCCTAAAAAAAAAAAAAAAAAAAGGAAGACCATACCACACTCCAAAAAGTAGTAATCAAGAACTAAAAATATATATATATGTATACACAAAATTCAGGCATCATACGTTTAATCAGACCTTTCACGAGGCAGATGTTGAAACCAGAGGAGAAAATCGGTAAGCTCGGAGAAGCGGGTCTTCGCCCTGCCAGAACCACAGGGCCCTAACACTGGCACGCCTGGCTGGCGGGGGCTTTGGCCTGTTTCATCTAGTCTGTCTCAAGCGGTAAGAACAATCACTGGCTGGAGCGATAGCTTAGATAAAGGTGTACGTATTTCCCACCCAGGAGCAGCACAACGCCTCGAAGAGCATCAGGCTGGCAGTGGACACGCTTTTCCGCTCCGGGCCGGCGGAGTCCAGGGCTTCGATCTGAGTGAGAAGCCGGTTTCCCGCTACCCAGGCAGCCGGCCCTCTACGACCTCCACCCCCGCTGTCTCCCGGCCTTAGCGACAGCAAGGGAGAGGATCAGCCGGCAGCGGGTCAGAAGCTCGAGCGATGTTCCAACGATGCTCCACCGAAGCCCTGGCCTCGCGCGCGCCCGCTCCAACCCTGCGCCCGCCGCCGCCCTCCCCGCGGGCGTCAGATCGGTCTTTCGGCCCGGTTCCTGTCACTCACCCGCCCG